GGCCACTCCGCGCCGAGGGCCGCGCTGCCGGCCGCGCTGCTCTGAGCACAAGCGTGTCTGCCGCCCAGCCCTACTCCCAGAGCTGTTAGCTCAGTTGGTACCAACAAGTACTGCGTAGGTCGGTGCCTGCACGTGTGTGTCTGTGCAAGACGGACAGGCAGAGTCGAGAGAGGCGGTCCCGAAGCTGCCATCCTGAAAAGAAACCAAAAGTTTCTTGGCGGTGCCTGACGCCAGGAGCCCCGGTATTCACACGTCATTCCTTTCCGTTATTTGGCAAATTAGGAAACTGTAAAATCTCAGTGGAAAGAACTGGAAATGGATGGAGTGTTGTGAAGAGCTGGTTAGGACATTTTGATGACAGCAGATGCTCTTCCTTGAAATGTTTAAACTTATTTATTTCTGCAGATGTATTTATTTATTCGAGAGGCAGAGTTACAGAGACAGGGGGGAGAGAGAGAGGCAGAAGGAGAAAGCTGCCTCCCCCTCGTGATGGCCAGGGCGAGGACAGCCTGAAGTCCGGGGCCGGAAGCAGAGCAGCTGGGACTCGAGTTGGCGTTGACGTGTGAGTCTCTGGCACAGCTGGCAGTGCCTTGGCGGGCTTGACCACCACGCCAGCCCCCAACACAGCTGCTGTCGAACTTCTCAGTCCTAGGGAGCTGATGAAAGGATTGGTTTTAAAATCCAGATTTGTTTTTACATTCTAGGAGTTCTTTGACCTTGTGCCCTCTCGGTTTAGACTTCTTAAAAAAGATTTTTTTTTTTTTATTGGAAACTCAGATTTATAGAGAGAGGGAGAGATGGAGAGAAAGAGCCTCCATCCACTATTTCGCTCCCCAAGTGACCACAACAGCTGGTGCTGAGCTGAACCGAAGCCAGCAGCCAGAAACCTCTTCCGGGTCTCCCACATGGGTGCAGGGTCTCAAGGCTTTGCGCCTTTCCCCACTGCTTTCCCATGCCACAAGCAGGGAGCTGGAAGGGAAGTGGAGCAGCTGGGACACAAACTGGTGACAGTGTGGGGTCCTGCTGCATACAAGGTGAGGACTTTAGCCACTAGGCTACTGCACCAGGCCCAGGTGTTTGACTTTCAAATTGACATTGCCTCTTAAGCACTAACTGGAAGCTGACTGGGAGGACAAGGGTCCCCCACTCCAGTTTTGTTCCGTGGTTTCGTTCTGTGGTTTCTTGCCCCAGCCCATGGTTCTCACTGCCCAGCTGTGTGCAAACCCCCTCACCGCTGGATTTGCCTAGAGGACCTGCTGGGAATCCGGCGGTCGCCGTGGTTACTAATAACCACACAGCCGTGTTTGCTTTCTTTGAGAGCAGTGCTTAAGGGAGAATCAGTGAACCCGAGCAGACGCCCTTCTTAAAGCAAGGCCAGAAAGCAAACACAGTTCTGAATATGTCTGAAAAAAACATGCTTTGTTCACCTCAACGCCAGACCCTTTGGTTACCCGTCTGCGTAAGGAAGAGATGGATTCATTACATTTTTATCATCACTTTGTTTTTGTCTGTGCTTTTGATGTCAGTTATCTGCTGGAGTTTAGGGCCATTGATCACGGGCTTGAGGTGTGTGTTTTAGAAGATAAACATCGTCTAGCGTCTCCCAGGCTCTGTGTAATCAGAGACCTTGAACGGATGTAAGCCCCTTTGGATTTAGTGGGCTTGTTGATAGCTTCCGGCAGCAGAGCCCGCTCCCCACCCAGCCGTGTATGCCCTGGCTGGCAGGAGGCTGAAGGCCGTGGCCACCAGGCCCTGGCTGGGTGCTCGGGCCTCGGTACCCACATGTGCTGTCAAAGGCCTGAGGAGGCGCAGGGTCTGAGCTCATGAGATAACCACGCAGGTTGGATTTTTGTCCAACATTCTTCATTCATTGTTGTGTTTTGGCAACCGATCTGATTGAATCGAGTTGAGACCAAGAGAAAGCAAATGGGAAGTTAGCAGTGATTGGATGAGTTGTCTTTGGGGCACTTGTTTGGTTTAGCCAGAACTCAAAACGCAGTTGTGTAATGCGGCGTGCGGCGTGACGCAGTTTTGTACTAGGAGTAATTACCTCCAGAAAAATCAGAGCTGGGTTTCCTCTGCAGCAGCTCTGCGCATGTCTCAAGAACAAAGGTGCAAAGCACCTGTTTTTTGGTCTTTCTGGTTCAGTCTTGGTCCCCTTCCTGTCGCCGAGGGGAGCTCGGGAGACCCAGGAGAGCAAGCAGGGGCATGCCCAGCGAGTGTCAGACGAGTAAGAACGGATTTCCCAGCGAGTGTCAGACGAGTAAGAACCGATTTCCCAGCTCCTGCTGGGTCTTTGCAGTAATTGTAGTTTTCCCATCCAGTGCTGGAAGAGGATTAGTCCAGGAAGAAATCACCCAGGATGTTGAGATCACCCGGGGCTGAGTGTGTGCGGGAGTGCTTCCGGCAGACCGCGGGAAGCACGGACCGGAAGGACCCCTTGATTTGGGTGGGGGAAATGGAATCGGTGTCTGTTTTTGTTTTTTTAGTTAAGAAGCATTTTGCCTGAACTTTGCGAAGCCCTTTCGTAGGGGAGACTGTGTGAGCACCCCTCACTGCTTCTCACTCAGAGGGCTGTTCTGGACGAAGGAAGGCGTCTTCCATGGAACCAGACAGCCAAAAAGCCTGACAAAGTCCTTACTGGATCTCAGGCCCGAGAGCCGCAGTGTTTCATGCTTTCCCAGTAACACCTGCCATGAACAGTAGCTGCGGGAGAGGCTGTGGAGGAAACAAGGAGAGCTGACCAGGAAACTGGAGTTTCCACACCAAGTTGGCAGCAGCAGCACGGAGCCTCCTGGGCTGAGATAAGGCCGCACAACGGGGCTATCAGATAGGGGGAAGCCGGTGCATGCCTGTGGCTAGCGAGGCATTCTTGTACAAACCACAGAGCTCCCATCTGGTCTTGCCCCACTAAACCACAGCTCTGCCAAACAATAGCAGGAACACCCATGTCACATCACTGCTGCCAGCCCCAAAGAATTGTCTCCAAAGACACTGGGATTTGTTACCCCAGATCTGGGTGCCAGGAGCCCCGGGAACAACCTCGGAGTGCTGAGCCTGACTGTGGTTTCGGAGCGAACGTGAGCTGCTTGTTGTACGCCTCGTGAAGAAGGATCAGCTGCAGGGTCCGTGGCGTCGGGGCTGGCGTGTGCCGAGGGCCAGTGGAGCAGTTCGCTAACTCCGGAAGTCCTTCCTGAGACACGCAGGGCTTTACCTACGCTGTGCTTTTCTACTGATTACTGAAATAGTTCATGCTAAACTTTAGAGAACTTGGAAAAGATTTAAGGATATATAGCATAGAATACTATCTCTGAACTTCATACACTTAGATAAGAGCTTGATTTTACAGCCTGCTAGTTTGGCCCTCTGTACGCAGACTCAGTGTTTTGATCTTTATGTATTTTAAACAGTCGCTTCTTTTAGTATTTTCCACGTGCTTATATGTTCTTCAAAGACAAATTGTTTTAAGTTATATAAAACTTTATTTATCTAGTTATTTCATAGTATATTGACCAAAGGGCCATGCAATAGGTTTATAGCCATTCATTGTTTATGTTAAATGTTCGCATCCCTGATTTTATTTTTTAAAGTATTTGAAAGCCGAGTCAATGAAAGGGAGAAACCGAGACATGGAAGGAGTGAGAAAGAGAGAGAGATGTAGTTGACTGCTGGTTTACTTCTCACGTGGCCACAGTGCAGGGCTGGGCCAGGCTGAAGCCGGGATCCTGGCCCTCCTTCCATGTCGCCCACACAGGTGCAGGGACCCGTGGACCTGGTCCAGCTCCTGCTGCTTCTCCCATTGTCAGGATACTGGATTGGCAGTGAAGCAGCCAGGACACAAACTGGCTCCTATATGGGATGCTGGCTTGCTGGAGGTAGCTTAACTTGGCTGTGCCACAAAGCTGACCCTCTGATTATTTTTGAGGTTAGAATTTTAGAATTTTGAAATCACAGGACCCAAGGGCAGGAATTTTCTGAGGTTCTCGAAAAGCCTTGACAATCATCTCTCCCCCCAAGCTTGCCAACATCTCTGGCTGCCTACCTGGTGCCCTGGCACACTGCCACGTGCCAGCCACAGGTGCCATCTTGGCTTAGGAGTAGGCAAGGCGTGCACTGGAACGAGTAAAGCATCCTCTGTGATTTCCAAATACCAAGCTGTGCGCGAAGCCTTCACATGCGTCAGACGCAGCTCACAGCACCGGGGAGCAGTGCAGAAATGCCTGGCTTGTCCTCACGTTTCACTAAGGAGAAGGAGTAAACGAAGACCAGAGGGTCCTCGGAGATCATCATGCCAGCGGAGACCAGTTCAGGAAGGGAGGTGGGCAGGGTGATGGTCACTAAGGATGAGGGCACATCGCACAGTTGTTGGCCCACACCACAGGGGCAGGCTCTAACTTCCATCCCTAGGGACTGTGGCTGGTTTCCTGAACAAGGAAGAGGTCAGTAAGGGTCACGCTGTGCTTGGGGAATGTTGGCATCTTTGACCGCAGAGAGTTTGAGGTGTGAATTTTTGTTCACAAACTACTGTTGTTTTCAAATCTTCATGGCTTCCATCCATGGGTATGGACCAGCTGGATGAAGCCGGCAACCTGCGGAACCTGCCTGTCAGGTCTCGTGCTGGCTTTGCTGTTCCTGCTTTTGGAGTTGTGGGGACAACAAGGCTTGGGTGGGCGGAACGGGAGGACTGATGGGGAAGGTAGAGAGAAGCACGCGGGAAGCCACGAGGCTAGGAGCCGGCCTGCAAGACTGCTGAGCACAGAGGGCGCTTGCTGGCTGGGGAGGCGGGCCAGGAGGGCCCTGGGGTGGGCATGCCCCTGCCATGCTCCTTGGGCTGTCCCAGGGAGGGTCAGTCTGGGGACCTTTTGTGTTCCTAGAGTTGTATTGACACCCATTTCATTTCTGGTTACCTTTCCCTCAGGGAAATAAAAACAGTCTCTAGTCTGTTTGCTGCACTGCTGTTTTAGGTTACACTGGCTCATGGTCGATCCCCTCTCTTACAGCAATACGAGAACTGGAGGCCCAACCAGCCGGACAGCTTCTTCTCGGCGGGGGAAGACTGCGTGGTGATCATCTGGCACGAGAACGGCCAGTGGAATGACGTGCCTTGCAACTACCACCTCACCTACACCTGCAAGAAAGGAACAGGTAAGGCTCGCCCAGGGGCCCACGAGCGGCCACCTGCTCTGCGGTGGAATTCTCGAGAAAAGCAATGACTGGCCCAAGGCTTATTTTGACGGGAAAAACGAAACAGTTTGTAGACTAGTTAAACACATTACTATTAAACAGCCTGGATCTGGGCCTGTTTAAAAGGGAAGAAGGCTTGGTACCATCTGGCTCCTGGTCAAGCTGGTGGCGGTCAGAAGTGCAGGAGCTGAGAGCTGCCTCCCGCGCCTCCCGGGTCCTCCCTGCGGCTCTGGTGGGGTTTTTCCTGTTTTTTTTTTTTTTTTTTTTTTTAATTATTTCCTCCAGAAGCTTGTTTTATGCTTATAAGCCATGGGACAAAAATGTCATTTCTGTATCTTCAAGATAGGCTGAAATCAATGTGCGTGTGATTGAGAGCTCCTTAGTGAGAACTGCTTAGCATGAAATGGGAAAAAATGAAAACAATTGATTCTATGAAATGTATATTTTGTGTGTATCCTTGACCAGCGTATTTAAACTTCTTTAAGACATGCTGTGTAGACTTATTCTGTGAAACAATTGGAAATCACATACTTTCAGTGTGACTTGTGATCTTGGTGTTAAACACTCAAATGCTTAGTCCAAGATTCTGACTGATTCACATTAAGCAAGGTTGCAAAGTCCTTGTTCAAAATATGAAACCCCTTTGATTGATTTATCTCCAGTTGAAGAAAATGAAAACCACACATCCTATAAGTATTTGAGAAAGATTCAAACACCAGTAAGTGAGCAACTCTGTTCAGACAAAAAGGAGACGGACAGTAAAGAGACGCAAAGCTTGGTCTCCAAGCACCGGCTGTGCCACGCTGGGCTCCTCCCAGCATCCTCTTGGGCTGTGCCACGGTGGGCTCTTCCGGCAGAACTTGGCCTCACGGCCCTTCCACACATGCTTGGCCGACTCTGCACTTGCCTTCAGCACTTCTGTGATGGAGCAAATCAAATATTTGCTGCTTTGGTTGTTCCCAGTGTGAGAAGTCTCCTGTTTCCTGTTGGTTTTGTCGGCATGCCCTGTTTGCTGTCCTTGACCTTAGGGCCCTGCAGTCACTCTTTTTGTGATATTCTTGCAGTGAGATTTACTCACAGCATGACGCCTGACAGCTTGGGTCAGACAGTTTCTTACTGTGACCATCTGCCTTGTGTCCTGCCCACTGGGTCCTGAAGGCCAGGACATTTCTAAACCCTCTCCAACCAAAAGATGTTGCCAAGGTCCCTGGTCATGGCACTGGGGGAGATGGGGAAGATGGGCCACCTGTGACAATTACTGCCCAGGAACCAAGAACACCATGACAGCCTGCAGTTCCCAGTGGGGAGTGTTTGACTAAGCCCTGCCTCATTAAAGAAGGAAAAAAACAATTTTTTCTTGTATCTCTCTACTCCCTTATATTTCTGTGCAATCAATACGTTGCTAATCATTACTCTAGGGAATTTTATAAATGTGTTCAAGCTTTGGTAAAAGATACTCTTTTTTTTCTCCTTTGAAATGCTTGAAACACCTTTAAATCAATAGATCTAAAGTGGCTCTCCTTTTAATGATATACTTGTAAAGGAGGGAAGGTATTAAAAAGGAAGGAAGGAAGGAAGGAAGGAAGGAAGGAAGGAAGGAAGGAAGGAAGGAAGGAAGGAAGGAAGGAAGGAAGGAAGGAAGGAAGGAAGGAAAGAAAGAAAGAAAGAAAGAAAGAAAGAAAGAAAGAAAGAAAGAAAGAAAGAAAGAAAGAAAGAAAGAAAGAAAGAAAGAAAGAAAGAAAGAAAGAAAGAAAGAAAGAAAGAAAGAAAGAAAGAAAGAAAGAAAGAAAGAAAGAAAGAAAGAAAGAAAGAAAGAAAGAAAAGAAAAGGCCCCACATGGTAACCTAGTCCTTACCTTGTACAGGCCAGAATCCCACAGGGGCACCGGTTCACATCCTGGCTACCCCACTTCCCATCCAGCTCCCTGCTGTGGCCTGGGAAAGCAGTTGAGGACAGCCCAAAGCCTTGGGACCCTGCACCCATGTTGGAGACCCAAAAGAGGCCACCAGGCCCCTGGCTTCGAATTGGCGCAGCACTAGTCATTGCAGCCACTTGGGGAGTGAATCAAAAGATGCAAGATCTTCCTCTCTGTATCTCCTCCTCTCTGTGTATCTGACTTTGCAATAAAAATAAAATAAATCTTTAAAGAAAGAAAGGAAGGAAGGAAGAGCGAGCCCAATGCATCCTTTGAGTATCCCATGTCCTACCTCACCCCACCTCCATTCCATTCATTATTAGCCAACTCCCATCAGAGACTTGATTCCCATGTGTCTCCCATTAATATGACCGCACAGCCTGCATCCCTTGAGACACAGGTGAGTTTTGCAGAGCTCTGTAGGCGTGTAGTCCTGGTGTGTGTGCTCTGTGCCTGGCCTTCGTCTGTCGCTCAGCACTGCATCTGCAGGACTGCCTTGAGTGTGGCTGCGTGCTCGTGTTGTTACTGCTGTGTATGTTGTCCTGGAGGACTGCCTAACATCCTGTTAACCTGGTGTCCTATGAGGGGACGTTCAGGTTACGGGGTTACAGTCTGTGTTTTTGCTACTTTAAATGGTATGTCTGTGAACATTCTTGCATTTTGCTGAGTCCTTGTAGGCTGTGTTTCCAGGAGTGAAATGGCGGAGTCCTGGGGTACACGTGCCATCAGGTTGAGTAGCCATGCCGCATTCTTTTCCAAAGTGCTGTTCCAATTTGCACTCCCACCAGCAGAGTGTGCAAGGGACTGTTGCTCCACATCTTCCTGGTATTATTGGACTTTGAAATTTTGGCCAGTTTGGTGGGTATGAAATGTTATTGCTTGTGATTTAATTTCCACTTTCTTAGGTACTTTGAATATATTTTCATATACATTGTAGATAATTTATAGCTCTTTTTTGGTAAATTTTCTGGTCATATCTTTGGTTTATTTTTGAAAATAAGTAGGTTGATTATTTTAAAAATATTTTATGGAGGCTTTTAAAAAATAGTTCTGGTTATTAACTCCTTGAAAGCTGTCTATATTGCAAATACCATCTCCAGGTCTACGCTGTGACTTCAGTCTTTCACTCTTATATTTTTTGATGAACCAAATTCTTAATTTTGCTCAATTTTCCTTTACAGTTTAAACCTTTTGTTATCCTAAGATAACTTTTACCTACCTAGAAATCATGAACAGCCTAGTTTTTTTCTAAATGTTCTGTAGTTTTTGTTTTGTGTTCACATGGTTAAGCCATTCAAAACTGCTTTTCTATGCATTATTTGAATAGACAGCCAAATATCCTTCTTCCATTTCAATCCCCACCTGACCAGATGATAAGACTGGCTCCTCCCAACCCCCACCGCTCAGCTGTGATGCTTCCATCAAATAGCAAGCAAACATACATGTGCCGATCTGTGTCTGGTCTATTTCCTCTCTGTGCCAAGACCGCAAGCATTTAGATTTTCATGCATCTAAATATATGAGTAGTTTCAGCAGAAGCCCCAAAACTTGGTCTGTTTGTATCTGATACATTTTAGTATTTGGACCCTACTGTGGGATTTTCACATTGCAGAAGAAGCAGCATAGGGGTGTGCAGATCGGGGGTCACACAGAACTAAATGTAATGCCCTCCCTGCCTAAGTTAGACTCGGAACTGCTGTTGCAGAAGAGCAAGTTGTACATGACATTCTGAGCATGTGTGTAAGTCCAGTAGTTGTTAAGTTTTTAGTATTAGAAATTGGACATGCGCACATCTCAGCACTGTGCTTTCTGGCGTCACTGTCCCCCTGGAAAGCCACATTAGCTTCTGAAGGAAGTGGCCCCAGCTTGTGGTGTCAGAATTCTTTGAAGTAAGCAGTGGGTGGGAAACACTGTGTAGGGAAAACTGTGTGTAAATCAAGTTACATTTTCATTTCTACTTATTGCTAACTTTGTCACGTTTAGAGTTTTTCGTGATAGATCTAAAGTGATGGTTGAGTGTTTCAGCCTTCACCTTGATGGCTTCTCAAGCGTTGACATTTGCATTTATGAACGCTAGTCCTCTACACACCACGGAGGCAGGAACAGCCCGTACCCTTTCCCGGTGCCTCCACAGATGAGACAGAAAGTGTCCGTGGAAGCAGAAGATGCATTATTCATGTTCAGAAATCTATCTCCCTGTTTTGAAACTCTGAGGTCATCATAGTTTGCAAGTTTATTTCAGGGAGGTGATAAGATCAGTAATTCTTGCACATCCATTATTATTCCAAGTGAAGGTGGGTAATAAACTGTGGGCTGACTTGTCAATGTGAACTTGATGTCTTTTAATTTGGAGTTTTTCCATAAATCACCCTGCCACATGGATATATGAACCATCAGCCACTTAGCTCTATGAATCTTCAATATGAAACACAGTTCAAGATGACACAGCCCTAGTTTCAAACTAGACCCAGAGCCTCAACACAGGTCATTGTCTTTTATGATAGTGCATGGTTTATTACTACAAACAGACAAAAACAGGGAGAGACTCGAGCTGGTTGAAGCCTTTAGAGTGTTAGGAAATAACGCAGTGTGTTTTCCTCAGTTGCTTGCGGCCAGCCCCCCGTCGTGGAGAACGCCAGGACCTTCGGAAAGATGAAGCCTCGTTACGAAGTCAACTCCCTGATTCGGTACCACTGCAAAGACGGCTTCATTCAGCGGCACCTCCCAACCATCCGGTGCCTAGGGAATGGAAGATGGGCTATGCCTAAAATTACCTGCATGAACCGTAAGTGGTACTTTAGAAAGAATGGACAACCGTGCTCTAACAACTACTAGACACCCGCATTTACGGCTGTGCTATCGGTCGGTCAGGGTATGGAGCAAGTAATGTTGTTGTGTTTTCTTTCTTTCTTTCTTTCCTTCCATGTAGCATCCGCATACCAAAGGACTTATTCTAAGAAATACTTAAAAAATTCCTCATCAGCCAAGGACAATTCAGTCAATACGTCAAAACATGAACACCGTTGGAGCCGGAGGTGGCAGGAGTCCAGGCGCTGATCCCCCAAGTGGCAAGCCTGTGTTTTCATCATTTCAGCCAAAGTCCTAACTTCCTGTGCCTTTCCTATCACCTCGAGAAACATGACCAGAGGGTTTGGATTTGTGGACTACCATCCAGTCTTTGTGGGATTGCCGTGCTCCCAGAACTTTTCTAGCGGAAGTGTTGGCATTCCAAAGCAAAGCGAGCGACAGGAAAGCAATGGAGGGCACAGAGTAACCACTTCCAGCCTGGCTAGTTCTCCTTCAGTTTTCTCGTTGCCTCTGGTGCAGACCGGTTCATGTTGTACACCAGCCTACTGTACTATTTAAAACGCTCAATCCCAGCACCAATGGCCATGTAAATAAGATGATTTAATGCTGATTTTAATCCTGTATATAAAATGAAAAGTTACACTGAGTTCAGGCATATTTAATGATGATTATGGGACCGTGGAGGTCTTGAATCATTGGTTTGGCTGCTTTTGTGTAGTTTGTTTAGGCTGGAAATGGTTTCTTTGTCCTCGGGCTGTCGGCCACACTGAGGATAGCTTTCTCTGGACAACCAGCAAGCACCAAGTCCCGTGGCTCACAGTGCCTGGCTCAGCCACGGGTGCCGGGGGGCCCCCACGGGGTGCCCGAGGCCGGCCAGTGGGCTCCTGACGGAGTGGGGACTCCAGTGCGGGACGCTTCTTTGCTGCATTGCTTCTTCACTTCCAAGAAAGGCCTGAATGGAGGACTTTTCCGTGACCAGGAGCAATCTATAGGGCTCAAAGTGCTAATGATTAACTCAACCAGGTCTACTTTTTCATGGCTTTCATAACACTAACTCATAAGGATCATGGCATTTCAAATGGATACAGACTTAGGGCTCTGGAGGGTGGGATGGTGGGGAGGGATTGCTAAAACAACGCCACACATGCAAAAAATAAATTTTGTATATATAACCATTTTAATCTTTTATAAAGTTTTGAATGTTCATGTATGAATGCTGCAGCTGTGAAACATATCTAAATAAATGAAGTAAGCCATACTGATTTAATTTATTGGATGTTCTTTTCCCCAAACCGGAAATGGGCGTAGTATGCTAGGTATGTTTCAGTGATAGCTTTTCTAGTCTCCTCGCACCATTTGGAACCATATCATGTAGGTATTCATCCCTGATTAGACAATGTGATGGACCCAGTGTTGACTGTGAACAGAGTGGAGAGGCGTGGCGGCGTGAGCCCCCGCGTGTCTGTAGGAGCAGAGCAGGCATTCCTCCCCGCGAGGTGGAGCGTGCGTGTTCACGGTTCTCCCGTTCCCTTGCACTCTGTTTTCTCCCTTTGGTTTGAATAAAGTGACTCCTGAAGGTGACTCGGAATCCTTATCCCCGTGATGTCATGTTGGAAGAAAAGCCTGTGATGCCGAGAAGGCCCTGGGGACTGTTTGATTTCAGTCACAGCGACTTGGAGAACAGGCAACAGATGAGATGCGAATGGGAAAGGAGCAGGCAGAGGTTGGCCCAGCAGCCCCCGGGGTGCAGAGTGACGACTTCCGCCCAGACCGTCACAGGGTCAGGAAGCGAGCTTCCCCCTGCAGGCTCCATGAAGCGGGCCCGCCCGCAGGTGTTCTGCAGCTCAGTATGTCACTGTGCTGACCTGTCAGGGTTTGCTCTTCCCCTCGCTCGTCACAATGCATATAACACTTTCCTGTATTTATATTATAACATGTATAGTGTAAAATGTGAATGCCTTTTTTTGTGAATGGAAATCTAAAATCTTTGTAACTTTTTATATCTGCTTTTGTTTCACCAAAGAAACCTAAAAACCTTCTTGTACTCCTCTGGCTTGTCTGGTTATTTGCTGCCCTCAATGCCCGTGTGCACCCACATTGCACACTGCACCTCAGGTGTGGTGGACAAGCTCCTGGCTTGGCTGAAATGTTGTAGTTCACAGATAAGGGACATGTGTGTGCCCACAAAACTCCAGATAATGGCTCTGGTCATGTTTTCATCTACACAATGCGTTCATGTCAACAACCAAAGAAATGTGGAGTAGGAGACGAGAGCATCACTGTGGCAGAATGCTTGGTCTCCACCAAATCGGGAGTTGGGCGTGCTTGATCTCACAGCAGGCACATGGAAGAGGTGCTGTTGCTGTGTACAGCGAGGCGCCAAGAGAAGGCAGCAGCCAAGTCTTCTGTCCACAGTGAGGTCACTGTAGATCATCTCCAGCACCTGCGTGATATCTGAAAGAAAAACAGGAGAGTAATTCACTGGCTGGGTGATCAGATGGAAGAGATTCTCACAAGATATAAAAGACAAGTTGCCGTCCGTTCAGCTAGTGACACTTCTCATGTGTGTCGAGGTCTTGCTGTGTGCCAGGTGCTGCGCTGGCATGTCTTTACCCATAGAAAGTTGCTCCGCTGGAGGCATCCCGGGGGAGCTATCTGAGAGCCTGCTCTGTTCCAGGTCTTCGCTGAGTAGAATCTGGGGACCAGAGACATTATGAGGTCTGCATTTGTAGAGAAGGCAGAAAGGACACAGGTGAGGTGAGAAGGATTTTGAGGTTTCTCGGAACAGGAAAAGCATCTGCTAGGACTTGGTCATGAGCAGGTGTGGGGGAACCTGCTTCTCCTTTCTGAGCTTGTCTTCTGACTCTTTCACACAAAACTTTAAAGAAGTCGCGGGGAATACGGGCTTCCCTCGCTTGTGCGTCTACACCCTTTCCTAGATTTATCATCATTTTACTCATCTGGGCACAAAGGCAGAATCTGGAACAAAATAGGACGTTGAAGGGGAATGGCACTTCTGAGTGTCGGCAAGAGGTGGTCCATTCTCTGGCATCACAGAGGAACAGGCTGTGTGCTTGCCAGGGACTGTTTAAGAGAGGTGGTCTCCCAGGGCAGGTGCAGGGCGGCAGGGGCGGCAGGGGCGGCAGGGGCCGACTGGGGAGGGCTACAGCACCAACATGATGAGGTGCTCAGCAGGGAGCAGGAATCGCTCTCACCAAGGAGCTCTTTTTCCCCAATCATATGTGATAGATTGCACACTTAGAAAGCTTAAAAATGTACAGGGAAAAAAAATCGGCAAGCGTTGCAAACACATTCAGAGTTTTACATGTGTTTCCTAGGAGAACAACCTGAGAGAAATGGGCTGCAGATAGAGAGATGCTGAAAGGACTTCGTGATGATTTCAATCTTCACTGTGTGGCTCTGTGTGCTTCCTAATGTCGGCCATGCAGTGAAATCGCTTTTGAGAACAGAAAGCTACACTGATTATTTCTGCATCTTTTGTTCTACTACACTGCGATTCATGTTTGCCAAACAAGCTAGAATTTGCCCAAATGATTCTTTTCTAAGACACATCTAAGAGGAAAGTTTATACAGGTCCTTGAATGAGTCAGTCCTCGTATAATCTTTTCCCATTATTACTCATTTCTGTCTGTCTGGATCCCAGCTGGATGAGTGAGAGCAAATGCCAGAACAGAACAAGAATGGGGTTTTGTCGGGGGTGTTTGCAGAATAAATGGAGTCTGGGTTTTAATTGGGATTTAATTCAGAGTTCTGTTTGAGTTCATTCAATGATCTCCGCCAACAAGTAGAAGTGCCTAGGGAAGAACTCTCTGAGATGTAGATGATCTAAAGTCAATTTTAAAAACTAAGTCCTCTGGGCCCGGCGCGGTGGCGCAAGTGGTTACAGGTCCTCGCCTTGCACGCCCAGGATCCCATATGGGCGCCGGTTCTAATCCCGGCAGCCCCGCTTCCCTTCCAGCTCCCTGCCTGTGGCCTGGGAAAGCAGTCGAGGACGGCCCAAAGCTTTGGGAACCTGCACCCGCGTGGGAGACCCGGAAGAGGCTCCTGGCTTCGGATCGGCATAGTATCGACCCGTTGCGGCTCACTTGGGGAGTGAATCATCGGACAGAAGCTCTTCCTCTCTGTCTCTCCTCTCTGTATATCCGCCTTTCCAATAAAAAAAAAAAAAATAAATCTTTAAAAAAAAAAAAACTAAGTCCTCTCACATTTCAGCTTCTCAACAAGATGGTTTTCATCATAAAACCAGATAAAGGTATTTCTGTCCATTTTAAAAATAAACATTCTAAATAAACATGTAACATCATTATTTTCAGGGTATTTAGTAAAATCTAAGCATTGTAGTGGTTTGGTAACTTACTATCATCATATTAAAAATCCTTAATAAAAATTAATTTCACCAGTCAGAAATTTTTAATATTTTTAAATCATTTTCACCATTTTTTCTCATTTCATCCCCTATAGAATGGGATTCAAAAGTTAGACATTTGTGTACCTGACAGTCGGCTATTTGTGGAACATGAAGCCAAAGGATAAGCTTATTTGGTGCGAAACAATTTGAAACCCATCAACAATGGCTTTCTCCACGCACTTTTGAAAGAATTTTGTTTACACCCAAATTTGTCCTCAACATTTGCAAGTTTTTTTCTTCTGAGAAGAGAGCTATAAAAGTGAAACATTCGCTGGTCTGAGCTATCATGGTAACTTGGTGATACAGATGGCTGAATCCTGAGAAAACTTTAGAGTTTGGAGGGTAGTTATACAAATGGTAGAATTTTAATAGGACACTATCCCCACAGGAGGCTGAGGGCTGTTCTTCCCAGTTCATGTTTCCGAGGGTAAATAATTACTTAAAACCAGAGTATGGCTTGATGCAGCCACAAATCTACTCCTGTCTTTGTTTTCCTAACTTTAAATAGTGAGGACATCTTTCCACATAAAGAAGTCCGTAGAGTCGCTTTTCTGTGCAAGGCGGCTGCGTTTCTTAACAAATCACACCTGTTCTTGAAAGAACAGGCCTTAGTTTCAAATGCGTCTCAGCTGAGATCAACAGGCTTCCCTGGTTTTGTGTGTTTACAAGCCCCTGACCTGATAAAAGCTTTGTTCCAGCGTCAGGGCCAGAGGCGTCCTTCTTGCATACGGTCTTGCCTGCTCTGCGCTTCAGCAGCCCCTGAAGCCCCCCGACTTCTCAAGGTAATGAGGGGCTGTTTTATGCAGGGGGGTTGGGGTGCAAAAGTGTCGGGGGTGGGGAGAAAGGGCTGTTGAGTGCTCCTTGTTCTCAAAGTTTGTTGCCCAAGACAGCAGCGTTGGCGTCCTCAGGAGCCTGTAAGAGATGTGAACACGCAGACCCTGCCGTCTGACTTGGAGATAGATGTAGGTGGTGGGATGGTCGACAGATTTCGCTCTGCCCCTGGGGAGTCTGATGTCTGCTGGAGTCCATGAGAGTCGCTCCAAAATCAAACCTACAGACCGAAGGCTGGGGCCAGGTGGGAGGGAAAGCTCAGGGCGCAGCCTCCTGGTGTGTGCTCTGGTGCCCCTGGGGAGCCCTGTGCTCTTCCCAGGACAGGTGGCCCTGCCTAGGAGGCTTCTGCATTAGCTAGCTACAGAAGCCTCCAGGGAGCAACAAGAGCAGAGAGCCTCCATCGGGTGCAGGACTCCTCAGGTGCCCACAGCATCCTGGGCCAGGTCAGGAAGAAGCCAGGATGGGGGAGCTCAACAGGTGGGTCCCTTCCACCCTCACAGAGCAGCCATCACTCACTGCCTCCAAAGTGCACGTTAGAAGAAAATTGGCACATTCGAGGTGAGGACTTTAGCCTCTAAGCTGCTGCCCTGGGTTCAAGGCATAGTATCTCATGATGCTGCCTCGTTTGTTTCTCCCTTTTTGGGGATCAGTGTCCAGTGAAGGCTATTGTTCAGTAGCTAGAAGCCATGGCTGTTATCCATGTTTGCCTGGTTGTTTTGTTTTGTTGGTTTTTTTTTTTTTTTTTGGCTTAAGGCCAAAAGGTGAATCTTGTCCATGTGAGTTTTGTTCCTGTTGGGTGCGACACTGCTCCGCCTACACTACCTGAATGTGCATGTGTTTTGTGTGTGCCTCTTAGCAACAGGGTGCTTGCTGTGAAGACCATCCATCCAGCTCGCTTGCCTTTCCTCCATTCGCATCCCAGGTCCCTAAAACCTAAGTCAGTAGATACTCCCCCAGGATGCCGGGCTTAACAGGCAAGGCCCGTGGGTATAAGCTAGAAGGGCGCACCCTGCATCCCTGGCTCTTTTCCTAGGGTTTGTCTCTGTTACTTAAGATCTGGGTGGTTTATGAAAAAATGCTCCAACCAGGACAGATTTTAGAGTAGCTGTTGCTGGGAGACTCAAACGTCCAAGATGTGACCCGACGCTCCATGAGGCTTTGCAGAATTCCTGCTGCTTTTCACTAACCTGCACACAGTGCTTCAAATCTGAATGTCATCAAAGGGAACATAACCATGTGAAGAATTTCAGATCTCTAGAGTCAGTACAAAGTTTTTGTTGTAAGATGGCATGCCTCCCACACCCCCAGGAATGTATGTACGTGCTAACATTGAATTGATGTCACTGCATTCAACGGATCTATACTTGGAGATTTAAAATATGACTCAAACAATAAAAACTATTTTCTATGGAGAATGAGGCTTCTATTACATTGATTTCTAGGCAGAGCGTTTCAACTTAAGTATCCCGGTGTTGCCTTTCTACCAACTGAGAAGTGGATAATTAGACCTGAATTTATCCGCTGGCATTTCTATTTTCATTTAGAACAAAATAATCTTATCCATTAGTTAAAAGGCTGAACATGCGTGATTTTTATTACAGCATAGGAAATTCTTTCAATCCTTTGTGTGATGAAAATGAAACAGACAAAAGAACTTGGAGAAAGATGTTTCTGCTGCTGATGGATCCGTCAAAGCAATGCCAGTTCCCCATACAGACCTCATTCTGGAGCCAAGAAGCTGTGTGCACTTTAAATGTGTTTTTGTTACATTTGTAGAAATAAGG